GAGAGAGAGAGAGAGAGAGAGAGAGAGAGAGAGAGAGAGAGAGAGAGAGAGCTTTTATTTGTGTATGCACTGTATATACTGTATACACCTGTATATTATATACTATATACCCCTGCACCTTTTTCTTCATTTGGCACCTAATTCTCCTTTGACTATTTCAGCCGATATGACAAGTACATTTCTCCACTGTGAGATCAATAAAGTCAATCAATCAATCCTGGTTTCCATTTTTTTAAAATCAATTTTTATGCATATTTGCCATTTGGCTCTTAAAGAAACTGATTATTTGAACTATTAAAGTAATAAGAATGAGTTCTGTACATTGTATCTGCATGTAATATCTACAAGAGTTTGGCACCCGTGCAAAAGGTTGAGAAATTTAATATAATGCTATAATAATGTGAATTAAATTTTTAGGCAGGTAAACTAAGATGGGAAAACGCTCTCCAGCTTTTATATTAATGGTGACTTACTCAGCTTGTCTCGCTCTAAAAATACCTTATTTTGTTTCCCTTTAGTTTGAGTTTAAATACATTAATAGAAAAAAAAATATATATATATATATATTTTTGCCTTTAATCTTTTAAGGGTATTTATCAAGGTTAGTGTGCCATCGAGAGGGAAATCAAACTACAACTCCTAGAATGCTTTGCGCAACCTCCACAGCCTCGCCAATTTCATTGGATACGTCTTATTTAATCCAACCAATGAGCTTCGAGGATACTGCAACGCTGAAATGACCTTTATTGGAGTATTTTGACAAGTAGTAGCTGTGGCGGCGTTTTCCGACCACCGTGTTATTAATGTCTCCCTGCAGTTACAGCTGGTAATAAGCTGGGCTTTAATCTTTCCCCTTATCCCGTGGAAACAGACAGCTGGCCGCTCAGAATGGGAGGAAATGGAAGCAAAGCGAGGAATGTGTCTTTTGGGCTGGACGAAGACGAGAAGGTCACAGTAGTTGAAGGAGTGAAGGTATTCCTGCCGGTGGGACAGTCAGTTGTCCTTCTTTAGTCATTAGACTCACATTTCAAGTATTATTAAGGTAAAAATGAGAATGTGTTCGGTCCCTGCTAGCGTAAAAATCAGACTGGTCCATGTCAACTGAACTTAGCTTTTATACTATCTTGGTTGAACTTTTATACTTGTTAATATGAATTAAAATCTGACTTTTAATCAGCCACTAACCTGGCGTTTATACCCTTTGTTAATGTTAGCTTGTTGGCTATATTTAAAGTGAGCTAAATCTTCCATTATTAGCAGGAATAAGCTGCCAGGGTCATTTATTGTTTTAGTTTAATTAAGACAAGACTGATGGATCATAGAGAGGCAGTTGCAACCCTTCATTTTGTGTAGGGTGTTTAGAAGTCCTGGTTTTTAATGGTCTATCATGGTGTAAAAACACAAATTTCCTGTCATCAGAAAGTGCGACCTTCACCAGTTTAAAAGCACCTGCCTTGGCATTTAGTCACCAGGTGCATACAGGTGTGTGTGTGTATGGACACAGTAGCAAGTTGGAAAACATTAGTGTTTGGTTTATTCTTTGTTGATCATGTGCATTGTTAATCTGTTTGCCAGATTTGATGGAGTAGAAGGCCTTCCTTCACATGGTGGATTGCATTGTGTGAACAGGGGCCATCTGATGAGGACAGTCTTTTGTCTGTAGAAGATACACAGGATAAGGACACATCCTGGAGCCGGACTGATAGAGGAGAGCTATCTGCAATCCTGAGGCATAGAGGAAAGAGGCACAAAAGTCAGGGCATGGATGGCGGGTCATTTTCTGACACGAACAGCTAAGCATCCACCTGATGCAACACAGAAGCAGGAGATGACCTTGTTTGGGGATAATTTTTTGCCGGATGCCCACGCTTGCTGACATTTTGAGCCCACAGCTTAGCCAACTCCAAGCAATTTCTCTGTCCTGTAACAATCTGAATTGGAATAAACACTGTTACTTTTTTACTCCTGCTTTTATAGTCCTTTTTATATGGTTTTACCCAGTTTGAGTTAAGAATAATCATACTAGGTAACTTTCTCCCTGGAAAAGAACCAGAAGGGAAGTTTTGAGGTGTAACCACCTTCAGCGGGACCTAACATCCTTATTTAGCATTAGCAATGGCCTTAGAGAGGAAAATATTACTGCTTGTTATTTTGGGAAGATATATAAAGTAATTTATTCACTTAAAGTCCATCATGCTTCAGTAAAAAAAAAAAAAAAAACAGATTATCCACAGACAAATCTTCAGCGACTGCTTTCAGGTGTTCCAGGGATAAACAAGGCTGTGTTTAGTTACTGCAAAACAAAAAACAAGCTACAGCTGAAACCGTACACACCTAATGTTGGGGTATTACATTTTATAATTCTTAACTATACCACAGAAAATGAGTAAACCTCATCTTACTTAAATGACATGCTATGAAAACTAGGGGTGGATCGATTGATCGGCCTTGATTTCACATTTTATAGTTTCACTGGTAGTGATTAATTCCTTTCAGTAAAATAAAATTGAAACTATTGAAGGTGTCTTATGATTTTATAACAACTGACAGTGTCGGTTATAAAAAAACCCAGTATCAATCTAAATTAAAATTGGGATGTAAAGATTTTTAAAAATCAAGAGTCGGGGATAGGCCAGAAACCTGCACCCACAATGAAAACACACAACTTTGTTTTGCTTTAAAGTGATGGCACCTATGTAAAGCTGTCTAGTCATAGTTCAGGGCATAGCAGTTGATGAAAGCCTTTCTTATCAGCACAAACGCCTGCACCAGCTGTCTAGAACAGAGATGGATGACTGATGATTTGAGCTTGTCACTGGATCAACCAGAAACTCTTCTCTAGAAATTATCTAAAATAAAGTATGAGGTCAAACGGTTAAAGTGTGTTTTAGTTTATGACATTAAACAGAGGACAACAGCAAATCAAAGAAACCAAGGTTTTCAAGCTTCTGCCAGGTGATGGAAAATATCCACTGGGAGTTATTGCTATTGAAGGTGTTGCATGTTTTTGTTTTAATATGTTTATACCTACAATATTCACAGGAAAGTAAAGGATAAAACGTGTAACTGCTGTTCCTTATTCATTAAAAGAAAAATAACCTATTGTACGGCCATGAATGAAAGCCTGAGAATTAGCAGGATTAGGAACTAATCTACCTTCTGTCCTGCTTGCATTACATTTGTCTTAACAAAGTGTTTGTTCTTCTGTTAACATTCTGCTCCAGCTCTCTGAGGATGTTCTCCGGCGGATGAGGGAACCTAAGGGATCGGAAAGAGTTCGGTCTCCATCCTCTGCTTCAGAAAGTCACAAAGCATCACCAAGTATGTTCTAAGCAATAACTGAATAATTCCTTCTGTCCACATCTTTATTTTATTAATAGATAGACTTTATACCAGACTCATGGTCCAATAAATATATAAGATAAAATGAAACCATACAGGTAAAAAGTACAATACAAGTACAATTATTTATTAGATAGGAGATTAAAGGAGACATGAATACCAGTGTCTCCACACCTTACATTGGTATCAGGTTGCACTATGTGTGGTGTCAGTAAGTGAGAAGATAATCATCATTGCCAGATGCATTTATCCTACAGATAAAACTATACGTTAACTTTTGTAAAACAGCATGTAAGGTTTTGACTCTTGTTGTGACAAACAATACACTCACACTAGTCCATCTTTGCCAATTCAAAAGTAACTGCAAAGCATCATTATAGGCCACCTGTAGCCTTTGCAGGCTGGATTTTTATATGTAGACCTCAGGTGAGCAGTCTACAAAGAGGTACAATATGCATTAAATAGTTCCCCTTTTACTACATCAATACATGCACCACATTTACAAGCAAGGGTGTTCGCTTGAGCATACAACATTCTACATTGTCCACAGATAACATCATCATCTGACAGATTCTCTCTGATGTTGTGCCCAAAATACTTGGTTTTATCAGTAACACCCAGCACAGTGTTTGACAGATTTAATTCTGGGAACTGTATAGATTTATCTTCTTTACTCCTACAGATCATGGCCACACTTTTAGCTGATTGTACTTAATGTCATGTTCCAGACCGTACTCAGAACAGATGTTAAGTAGTTGCTGTAACCCAGCAGTACTTGGACTAAATGTTACTAAATCATCTGCATACATCAGGTGATTAAGTATAGAGTTACCAGCCACACAACAAGCGTTATGAGCTCCCAACTTGGTTGCTAGTTCATCCAGATACAAATGAAAAAGAACTGGGGACAAAATCCCACCTTGCGACACAGTCCCCCCATTTAATCTGCAGTGATTGCTGAGCATCCTAATATGAATAATATACTCTGGTACACCTTTTTGTGCCAGTTTCATGAAAAGTTTTCTGTGATTTATCCCATCCCATTGTTTTGATGCATCTAGGAAACACATAAAAACTGAAGAGATCTGCTTATTATATTTATAAATAATCTCTTTTCAAGTATATATGCACATATCTGTGCCCAGGCTAACCTTAAAACCAAACTGGTTATCTGTAGATTTGATAACCCCTAAAATCCAGTCCAGTAGGATTAATTCAATAATTTTTTAAACTACTGGCCAACACTATCGGATGGTAATTATCAGAACTGCCAATCTCCTTGGTTTTATCTTTGATGAGGGGTACTAACAGGACACTTAACATAGAGTCAGGTAAAAGACCATGTATAAGAAACGCCATAAAACAAATGCAAAGTAGAGGAGCTAGCCTTGCACTTGCATACTTTAAATGCTCTGCTGAGATTACTTCCATCCCAGTGGCTTTATTGTTAGACAATTTTGAAATAGCTTTATGATTTTCATCTGTACGGAGACCATTATTTACAGGATATGGTTCACTATAAATATAATTAAATAATCTACTTTAATGTTGGTGCCACAGCTCCACAATATTAGCAGTGTCAGATATCAACAGTACAGGGCAGAGATGTTTTGTGGGATGTCGTACCTCTAACTTCTTTCCAAAAATCTTTTGTATTGTGACAAAAAAGTTTTCTGGCCATTGAGTCAGCCCTCATTGCTCTTTCATTTTTACTAGTTTATCGCACAGCTCACTTGTGTTGGGCACTGGTCAATTTTTTATGTTCAAAGACGGACCCAGATCTCGGTCTCCCTGCCTGTATCCACTCCTTAGAAGCCTCCCGAGGTCTATTATAAAATTCAGCCACGTGGATGTTCCTTCCTTTTCTCTTTATGCTGTTTATGGAGGAGTTTATTTGATGCCATCAAAACATTAAAAATGGCACCATACACAGAACAAATGGATCCAATGTGCTCGGAATTTTACAGTTAGCATCTCTACACTTACCTGCTTCGCTAGGCACACTATGTGTATCTGTGCACATAGAGTAGGATAGCAGTTCCTCCTCTGAGAGCGAGCTCCAGTCTAAGTGTAATTTGTTACTTTCAAAGTTGTACTTTCCCATCATTGGTAAACAATATAGATGTATCTGCATCCCAAATGGAATATGATCGGCAGTGGATAACTCATACGGGATTTTCATGCCAGTCAATGAGTCATGTCCATCTGCTGTAGCTACACAGTCATCCAACCATGAGGTTGTATGCCATGACTCACCATTTATCCATCCATTTTCCATCATGCTTATCCCAAGCGGGGTCTCAACAGATGCTGGTGCTTATCTTCAGCTGCCTGCGGGTGAGAGGCGAGGTCCACCCTGGACAGGTCGCCAGTCCATTGCAGGGAAACACAGTGAGAAACAGGACAAACAACAATTCACGCACACAGTCACACCTGAGAATTTAGAGAAGCCAATTAACCTAATAGAACCGAACCCGGAACCTTCTTGCTGTAAGGCAGCAGTGCTACCCACTGCTCCACTGAGCAGCCCTCCGTGCCTCACTAATGTACGCAAAACTATCTGTTGGCAGCAGGACTTAAGTTGAGAGAATGAACCCAATATCTTCACAAAACTGGCTTAAATGAGTACCAAATATAAATGTATTATCAGTGATATCAGAGTTCATGTCACCGATAAAAAACACATTAAGAAACATATTATCTTCTATAAAAAACTTAATAAAAGCAAGTTTGTTAAGATATTCAGTTTCATTTGCGGGGCACTCATATGGGGTGTACACATTCATGATAACAGATTCCTTGTCATTTTGTGTCACGTGTATTATTATGCACCAGTCTACTTTAAGTTGAATTATTATAACTCAAGGATCCAGTCTCTTATCCAATGATATATTGCAACACCACCAGGAATCTGTCCTCGTATTATTCCATTACCAATATCAACACTAGACCCCCCGGCTCTGTGGAAACGGCCCTTTACAGAGTTCAGACCTTCTGGATCCTGCTTTGTCAGAAAAGTCTCTTTTAGACAGCATATCAAATTGGCATCTAAAGTTGGTCTACAACACTGTGAGCTTTGTCCTCTGCGCTATGGCCCAAGCCAGGCTGGGACAATTATATGACATAACTTTAAGAGCCATCTGTTCAGGTTTATTTGGCCTCGGTGCCACAGGCCAATGAGGCCCCTCCCATCTGCATACCCGGAGGAACCGCACCGTTCATTCCTGCAGCTCCAGACCTATATGGCTCATAAAACACCGAACATCCAACTGGCCAGAGTTCAGGATTGTACATCTCCGCCACATTATAACACTATATATAATAGACAAACCTGCTGTTTTCATAGCTTATTTTGAGGCATGTATCGAGAATTTAGAAGCGAAGACACTCACCAGTTTGGTTGGAACTGTTTTTATGTTTCTTGCAGTCCCTGTGCCCACAATAGCCATTTTTTTCACTACAGGTGTAGTATAGCACTCCACTTTAGGAATTCAGGCGGATATGTACTTTCACCAGAGATCTTGCGGCAGCATCCACGCAACAGTGCTTTTGCTTCTGAGATCAGGCCACAGTCTTCGCCGTATCTGCACTCACCGTCCTTGCAGTCTCTGTCACTGCGTCCGTCGCTTCCACGTTCACTGCCTCCACAGGTGACAGGAGGTAAATCCTCCAGATAATGACAGACAAACATTTTCCCCACATTCATTTAGGACCTTCATGCAGCCTTTGGTGTTTTTTATGATCATTTGCACTCCTTTGTCCTATTTAGCTGCGTGGTAGTGCTCAGGTCAAACAGCTTTTTCTTAGAGACCTCTATAGACTCTGTGTCGAAAGTGCTATTAGCCAGCAGCACTAGCTCATCCTGTGTCAGAGTTCTTATTTTCACAGCCAAAAAGTTAAAGCGCTCATCCTCCACAATAATTTTGCCATCCACAGTCCTGTAGATCTCAGGCTTATGTCTAAATCAACATGAAGCAGGATAGCAGAAGCACAGGCTGTTGCCATCTTGGTACTCAGTCACATGCCAAAGAAAGCAGCCCCTGTTTAGAAGACTGTAGAGGAAAAGAAAAATCCTGATTGTATGTACAGAGCACACTAAACATAAACAAAGATTCTATAAACTGACCTCGCTATGTTTAGGTAAATATGTTGAAATAATGAAGAAATGTTAATGTTTTATAAAGAAATGTTCTTTAGATTTTACTAACTAGTTCAGGTTTAAATGGAGTCTCACTTAAAGCATCAGTGCTGCTGGTTAAACTGCATGTATCCATCTAGGTTACCATTGCTAATGTCTTTACTTCTTGATTTTTAGAAGCAAAACCTGCAGAACCATCAGCTTCGGGGGCACAAGAAGAGATGCGTAAAAAGTAGGTGTTTGTAGCTTTAATATGTCAGCTGTTTATTTATACTGGATTTCAGTGTCCTGTCTATCTGTCTGTACATTTCTTCTGTTGTTATATAAAACACCGGTGATCAGTTTTGCTATTTAATCTCTTATTTCCTGCTTTGTAAAAGACTTAAGCCAATTTCTTTTACATTTAAACATTACATATATATTACTTCGGACTGACAGGAAAAAAGTGGGACTCTGTAGGAAGTTGGGTGGATAGCGTAACATCTAATGCAAGGGAGCTGCTTCCAGAGTAGGATGATCTTAGGGTCACTGGGTCGTTACACAAACATCATGTCTTAACACTTCTTTGGAAATAAGCTAGAAAAGAAAAACCTGAATGAAGGCCCCCGACACGCTCAGTGGAGAGCTTAAATCAGAAATGCTACAGTATCAAATAGTACCAATGCTATGCTAACAGCTACAGCTCGAGTGATTTGTTATGTTTATCTGCAGGAACTGATTCACTCTGTCTGCATAACAGTGATGTTGATATAGTTTGGGAATGTTCTTGCACTAACTTGTTCCACAGTCAAACCCTTCTCTCTTGATTACGGCCATTGTCACTGAGAATAATTTGTATCTTGATCTATATTGATTAAAGAAGAACGAATGTGTCTGATCTCACAGTCAATTTTATATTCTTATGATTCATATGAAAAAATATATTTTTTACCATCTAATCTATAAGGTTATGGCATTATATAGTATACAATTTTCAAAATAAAACAAAAAAACAATAATACAAACTTTTTCTTAAAAGTAAATATTTGATTTATTGACAAAAATGTCCATAAATGTTAGAATCTGCAGTTCAGCATTTACAGCGCAACACGTCTACAGCAAGCTTATGTTTGATCGAACCACAATTTTAATCCTTTTAACTTAATACATCATTTTTTTCTTTATATGTACAATACAAAAAGCAAAGAAAACCAGCTTCAAACACAACAAAACGAATTCAAAACTGTGTACGTAACAGTTAATAAAACCTTTTGGTTGGAATGTAATCAACAGGTCAACCGCTACCATTCAAAGAGCAATATGGATCAGCGCTGCTGATCATCATAGTTTCAAATAATCCAGTTAAAGAATTAGATATTATTGGAAAAATATAGTTTTACACTACTTTGACACTAAAATGAAAGATCCATTGCTAGACTAATTTTTGTTTTTGTTATTTTTAGGTTTAACCACAAAATGAAATTGCACTAATTTTAGCAAATAGTTCCTAAAGTAGGTGGTTTATGGTTTCAGCCAGCAGAAAGATCAGTTCATTTAAAATCTGCAGGTGCATGAATGCACACGATACAATCCAAGTCGATTAAAACCAGTTGATCAACTTACTTTAGGAATTTAAAATTGTTTATTAAAAGGGAATAAACTCAGTTTTGTGCATTCTTATCTAAAATTTCTGTGTTAAATTCAGATTTTTTTAAGACTGCATGTAGGAAGCTGCATTGTATTTAAAAGTAAGCAAATTTAATGATGAACAACTGAAACTTTTTAAAACGACTCTTTTATTACCATCAGATTTGAAAAATTTGTCACCCCCATGTAACTTTTTATCCATGTTGTGGAGGGCCTGAAGAGCTGCTGGGGCTGCAGGCTGCAGATTAGGCCTCTATCTGAAAGCAAAAGGTGGATTTCTTCTGCTGCCACTAAAAGCAGCTGTTGCACAAACATCCCTTGTTGTGGTCCTCTCTCACTTTCAAGGTCTTGGCCAACATTTCCATCTGGTCAAAGCAAGCAGTAAACCCATTAATATTATAAAATTAAACACAATTTTCCAATTATCACAACCAGATTACAAAAATTCAACATATATAAGAGGCATTGCTTTAAGACCTCTGGAAGACTTAACTTAAACACTTTGATTTTCAAAGATCAGAGCCTCTGTTTTTTTCTGTTAGCTCTTTATGTGTTAGAGAAAAAGTCTCTCTCCATGAATTCTCAATGTTGACAGTTCATATCATATCTGACATTAGCTACGAGCGGCAACAGGCTCTGGTGCAGGAGCAGCTGGCCAAGCTGGCCCAGAGGGAGAGAGAGACTACAGCCGCCACAGACGTGGAGGAGACCAGGCCTAGTGTCATCATGGAGAAATGGAGAACGCATGAAGAGCAGGAGAAGGCCAAGTTACTGGTGAGTGATGCTGTCTGGGTGATTGGATATGGATGCTAGAGTTTATTTTCCATTGGTATAAGCAGAGGA